TAATATAATGTAATATAATGTAATGTAATGTAATGTAATGTAATGTAATGTAATGTAATGTAATATAATATAATATAATAATTGTAAAGTATATATTAATAAATATGTATTAAATATATATTGTATTTATATTATTTATTATATTAATATATAATATACTGTATTATGCTATTAGTATATTTATATATTGTTTTATATACTATTATAATATATTTTTCTATTATATTTATTAATTATTTAATATTAATAATATTTTAGATTCATTCTATTCCATTATATCCCTCACTTTGGGTTTTTCAGGAAGGACAGCTCCTCATGGGAGCTTCCATGTCCCTGCACCAAAACCACACAGAACCAAGAAAGGGATAAGAAGCAAATGTGTAAAATTTATTATGTTCTTCAATGAAAACAGGGATAGGGAATTTACAAAATTAAAATTCACAAATAAAAAAAAGGATTTATAAACACCAAGAGTTCCTGGTTCGAACAAACAGCAGCAGCCCTTGGGATGCTCAAACCCAGCTGAGCCCAAAACAGTTCCTTCATTAAAAAATAAGGTACTTAAAGGAAAATGCCTCTGGAAGATGGTGGAGCCAGCATGGAAACCATGGAATATGGCAAGGGCAGTGTGCTGATCACATCCTGATCATTCAGCCACAGAAACGTCTCCTGGCAAAGCACGACTCAGCTGGGAAAGCTCCGAGTGCCGAGCCCAGGCCTCTGCTGAAGGCACTTCCCAAATCCCAGCGGGTCCTGCTGATTCCAGAACGAGTCTGGAGAGAGCCTAAAGCTCATCCCAATCCACCCCTGCCACGGCAGGAACACCTCCCAGCAGCCCTGCTCCAAACCCAGGAATCCCTGAGGAATCCCTGAGGAATCCTGTGAGGAATTCTGTGAGGAATCCTGTGAGGAATCCCTGAGGAATCCCTGAGGAATCCTGTGAGGAATCTCCTGAGGAATCTCCTGAGGGATCCCTGAGAATCTCCTGAGGAATCCCTGAGGATTCCCTGAGGATTCCCTGAGGATTCCCTGAGGATTCCCAGCCTCCTCACTGCTGCTCCTGTGGCTCCCCTGGCTCTGCTGAGCCCAGCTCTGCCCAGGGGCTGGAAGTTCCAGAGGATTGTGTCCATGGATTGCCTTTGTCTGTGTAGACACTGTGGGCTCACGGGGAATTCTCTGCTGGAGAGGGCAGGATCTGCTCAGCTCACGGGGAATTCTCTGCTGGAGAGGGCAGGATCTGCTCAGCTCAGCAGCTTCAAGTGTCCAGAGCTGCTCCTGGTGTAGCCCTGGCTGGGGTGGGGACAGCGGGGTGAGGAGATCCCCCAGCAAGGACAGCCCTGGGAACCTAAACCCAGCCATCCCAAAACTCACAGAATCCCCCTCAGGATCCCAAAACTCACAGAATCCCCCTCAGGATCCCAAAACTCACAGAATCCCTCTCAGGATCCCAAAGATCAGAATCCCCCCCAGGATCCCAAAGATCAGAATCCCTCTCAGGATCCCAAAGCTCAGAATCCCCCTCAGGATTCCAAAGATCAGAGTTCCCCCCAGGATCCCAAAGATCCCAGAGATCCCCTCAGGCTGGGACTTCCATCACAAAGCAGTCTGAAGTGTTTGTGAAGCTGGCAATCCCATAAAGTGAATTTTGCTCTCCCAAAGTTAAATGATTTCATTTTCCAGTGTTTCTTTGGATCCTTTGCTCCCCGAAGAGTTGGTGTCGTTGGAATAATTCCCTGAGTCTCGACTGCTCTGTTTGGAATGTTGGTAGTCTGTAAAATCAATCTGATTTCCCTCTTCTGTGATCATGGATTCGATCACACAGCAATTTTCCACAGGTTCCTCTGCAGCTGACAGGTAAGGGCTGCTGAAGGGTTGTGCTCCAAATCCCTGCAGGAGGGGAAGAGATGAACATTCAGAAATAATAATTATATACTGATTTAAATAATTAAATACTGATTCTGCTTAACACCACACAAATGTGATTGATCAGATTCTTCACTGTGAAGGTGCTGAGGCTCTGGCACAGGAATTGCCAGAGCAGCTGGGGCTGCCCCTGGATCCCTGGCAGTGCCCAAGGCCAGGCTGGACATTGGGAGCTCCTGGGACAGTGGGAGGTGTCCCTGCCATGGCAGGGGGGCACTGGGTGGGCTCTGAGGTCCCTTCCCAACCCAAACCACTCCAGGTTCCATGTTCATGCTGAGCAGCATGGTGTGATTTTCTACCCCTGACACAGCTCTTGTTTCCCCCTAAGGTCACCAACTCACAATTCAGTTCAGTCCACAGAATCCCAGGATCCCAGGGGCTGGAAAAGCCCTCGCAGCCCAGGGAGTCCCAGCTGTGCCCGATGCCCACCTTGTCCCCAGCCCAGAGCCCTGAGTGCCACGTCCAGCCCTTCCTTGGGCACCTCCAGGGATGGGCACTGCAAAGCTCCCTGGGCAGCCCCTGCCAAGGCCTGAGCTCCCTTTCCATGGGCAAATTCCTGCTGCTGTCCACCCTGAGCCTCCCCTGGCCCAGCCTGAGGCCGTTCCCTCTCCTCCTGTCCCTGTTCCCTGGGGCAGATCCCAGCTCCCACATCCATTCACAGAAACAAACACTAAACACATTTTATCTCAGCCCTTTCCCTGCTCTCAGTTGTCAATCACCAAAAAATTGCAACATTTCATCCATTAGAGACTGAGGAGGCCACACAAGAATTAAAAGAAAATCCGGGTATAGATGTTTCAGGACATGAATGTTGCCCTTTTCATTCCAAAACAGGATCCCTGCAAAGCACCAGCTGTGCCAAGCTGGAGATGAAACAAAGGTCTGGAGACCACTGATAAAACCTCTAAAAGGAACCCTGGCTGACCCATAAAAGATAAACATCTTTTTTTTTCCATGATATTTAGAGTTCATTTTCCTACAAAGAAGCTGTTTAATAGCTGAGAAGTCAGAGCTCACCTCGATGTTCAGGGGGGGCTGGCAGGAGGGGAAGAACACGTATTTGATTTTGTTGTAGGCTTTGTAGAGCATAAAAACAAGAGGACTGGCCACCAGCAGGACAAACAGCAGGGCACCCATGAAAATCCCAAAAACGATCAGAGGTAAACGTGAACCTAAATTTGGGAATAAAAACCATTCAGTCAAGGTAGTCAGAACCAGCAGAAATTAAAAAACAGCTCCAACTGTGCTGCAGAGTTTATCAAATAATTTAAATAATTCAACATTTCCACATCACCCAGCCAGGGAAAACTGATGCTGTGCCAGCATGTGAGATAATTTTGCTTAAAGAAGCCACAAAATATTCTCCAACACAAGAACACAGAATCACCAAAGATTCTCTGGGATTCTGGGAAGAGACATCCAAAATGACCCAGTCCCACCATCACCCCAGCACCACCAGCTGGAGAGGAGAAGCTCCAGGGAGAGCTCAGAGCTCCTTGCAGGGCCTGAAGGGGCTCCAGGAGAGCTGGAGAGGGACTGGGGCCAAGGGCTGCAGGGCCAGGAGCCAGGGAATGGCTGCCAGTGGCAGAGGGCAGGGCTGGATCTTGGGATCTTGGGCAGGAATTGTTCCCTGGCAGGGTGGGCAGGGGCTGGGATGGAATTGCCAGAGCAGCTGGGGCTGCCCCTGGATCCCTGGCAGTGCCCAAGGCCAGGCTGGACATTGGGAGCTCCTGGGACAGTGGGAGGTGTCCCTGCCATGGCAGGACTGGGAATTAAATGATCTTCACGGTCCTTCCCACCCAAACCATTCCATGGTTCCATGACTGTCTCAACAAGCTGAAAGGAGTCTGCTGAAACTAAAATTAACAGGCACCAGCAGCCACTTTCCAAGTAATCCAAAGGATATAATCTGGTTTTACTTCATGATCAAAGGATGGAAGGTTTTCACTCTGGGGTATAAAAACATTGGAAAGACAGGGCATGGTCTGTCTTGAAGGCACTGCTTGGATTTAAAGACAGCCATTGAAATAGAAGGATAAGGGGAAGAGTAATAGATAGGTAAATTGATTAAAATATTTATCTTATTCAGGTAAAGAGTGGCATTTGGTTCTTTTTAGGCTTGATAAGACACAGCAGTGAGGACCATGATAGAAATGAATCCTGAATGTGAACCAGGCATTGCTGTTATCTCATGTTCTTGGCTTTAAGGCAGTTTGAAGAGTCAGAAATTTTGATAATGCTAATAAAATTTTATGTGGCCAATTATCTTCACCATGATTTGTTTTCTGTTCTGAGTGAGTTCTGAGTGAGTGTTTTCTGTTCTGAGTGAGTCCCTTTTCACCAAGATGAGCTTTCAGCCCTAACAAATCTGATTTATCTCCTCACTCTTCAGCACAGGAGACTGATTCCCAGAAGGACTAAGGCAGTTTCAAGGATAAAACATGGAATTTAGGCATTCCTTTCTCCCTTCCAAGCTGTAGGACTGGGTGGACTGAAGCTCTCTGCCCAGCCAGGTGCTCCCAGGAGTTTTAAGCTGTGAGTTCCCAGTGAAGGGGGAAGGATTCCAGCTGCAGGGGGGAAGCTTGGCCAGGCTGAGCCCACCTGCAGGGGTGTGGATGCATTCCTGCTGGCTGTAGGCACTGCTCTTGTTGTAGGGCTCAGAGAAAGCCTGGACTTTGACACAGTACAGGGTGGAGGGGGACACATCAGGGACTGTGGCTATGGTTTGCTTCACCTCCTTCTGCTTCACTTCCCACTGGCAAAAGAAAAACAAAAAAAAGGGAGAAAAGGAGGGATTAGATGGATGGGTGAGAACTGCAGCCTCTGCTGGAGAAGGGATTCTGTGAAATGTCAGACCTTGCTGCAAGCCCAGGATCAACAGGGCTGCAGAGACTTTCCAGCTCACCCAGTCCCACCAGCAGCACCCCAAGATGCCTCTGGAAAACTTCCACCACCTCCCTGGGCACCAGGTTCAATAAAATATACAAACCACCCCTTAGCTCCCAAGCAAAATTCAGCAAACACTTCCTGGCCAAGACCCAGGTGCTTTCCCCATTCTGAAATGTCACAATTCCAAGTTCCAAGGAAATTCCTTCCTGCTGCAGTTTGTTTCCTTCTCTTCTGCCCCCCACCAATATTTCACCAATATTACTGTGAAATATTTTACCCCAAGGAATATTTAAAGAACATGGAAAGATCCATTAAAATGTGGGATAAAAGCATGCAGGACTTCAGTGCTGGATGGAGTTTTTCCATCACGTTGCACACAGCCACATCCATGGAAATTGAGATTTTAACCCATCATTGGGAGATAAAAATCACAGTGACCAGATTTCTAAGAGAGTTACATGAAAATATCAACTGCTGGGTGATAAAAGTCACAGTGATTGGGTTTATGACAGACTCTTTCATTAAAAAACCCAATTAATTGACTTTTTAAAGACTGATACACCACGAATCTGCCTCTTTTGGAAAGGAGCTCCTCAGGGAGGACTGAAACTCAGGATTTAAGTCAGAATCGATTTTATATTGTATTTAATTAGTTCACACCTCAGAGGATTTTTTCCAGTACAGGATCCTGTAGGACAAGTCATAAATGCCCCTCACAGCTTCATCCTCAGCTCCTCCTGGAGGAAAAATAAGGATGTGGAGTGAGGCATCACTGAGGTCCAGCCTTAAACCAGGAGGGCCAATTCCATCTGAAAACAATGAAATAAAGAATTAAAATCCAACTGAAAAAGAAATACAACTAAAAACATTGTTTCAAATGCAGTGAAATCTACCATAATTTTTAAGAAATACAGAGTTAAAAGTGTAATTTCATCGTTTTATTCAGAATATCAAGTCCTGAGAAATATTTCAATTATTCTCACTATATTCTTGTGGAATCCCCTCTCCAGTTTCCTGTCAGCTCATAAAGACATTTGGCACTGAGCAATGAGTTTGCTGAGCAATGAACATTTCAGGAAACAATTTCCTTACTTATTTTCAGAGGATCCACTTTGACTTCCCTGGACAAACAGGATTTGCTGTCCCTCCTGGCCTGCACTCGCAGATAATAAAATCCCGTGTTGGTGATGATGGAGGAGAAGTTGCACCAGGTTCTGGTGATGTTCTCACACCTGGGGACACTGAGCCACTTGTCTGAGTGATCATCATTGAGCCTCTTCAGGAACCCACTGCAAGAGAGAACCCAGGAGTTTTGATGTGAGCTCCCTCAACTCCTGGAGAGAATCACGTTTGTTCGTGCTGCACTTGGCTCAGTTTGGGGCAAAAAGGCCTCAATTGATTTAAAAAAAAAAAAAATTAAATAAATAAAGATTTTAATATGAGACATTTCTGAGTGGAACAATGAAGACGGAAGGGCCAGGAAATACAAATCAGGGCTTTAACCAAACCTCAGCAGAGAAAATGGAATGTGGGGTGCTCAGGTTCTGAAAATCCAAATGAAAAGTTCTCACGTAGCTCCGTTGTCCATTGCTTTCCTGTCATGCCAAAAGAATTCCCAAGGAATGCCAGGGGGATCCCTCCTCTTCAGTTAGGTGCTGGCCACAATATTTATGCAACAGCTGTAGATTGAGATACAGCTTTACAGAACTGCTTCTAAATGGGATTTTTTGGATGTGGTTCGATGGGTTTTTATGGGATATGATGGGGGGTTTATGGCATTCCTTGTTTTTTGATGCCATACAGTTTTTATCTGATTTTCTTTACATGATACAGTGGTTTTGTCTGTGATCTGATGGGGTTTGATGTGATATTTCACGGGACATGAGGGGGTTTTTATATGACTTGATGGACTTCTTATGTGATACAACATTTTTTTAATGAGATACAGCCTTTTTTTAATGTGATACAATTTTTTTAATGAGATACAACCTTTTTTAAGTGACACAATGTGTTTTTGACAGGCTACCTTGGGTTTTCTGCCCCTATTTGGGTCTGCCCAGAGGAAATCCAAGCTGCCCACAACTGAAGCCTCCCAACACCTGGATTTTTGCTCACCTCTACTCATCTGATTTCTTCCCATTCAAAAAGCCACTAAACAATTCAAGCTTCCCAGCTTGAAAAATGTCCCCCAGCATTCAGGAGTCCCTTCCATCAGGAGTTTAACACCCCCAAAAATTCCAGGCTTGGGTATTCCACGGAATTCTTTTTCCCAGCAATGAGCTAATACACGAAGCCACCAAATATTTCATTTGAACTTGTAGGAAATACTGGCAGAACACAAGAAATGGGATTTCAAATGGCAGGGATGGGAAAGGTTGAACTCACTGGAGGTACTGCACGTTGTAGTTCACCTCCTGGTTGTCCTGGGTACTCCAGAGCAGGTGGAAATTCATGTTCAAAGCCAGGATGCTCAGGTTGGTTGCACACAGGTGGTCGTTCACTGCTCAGGGGGAAAAGGAAACCCAAAGTTACCAAAAAACTTCATTTTGTGGACAGGGAATTTCATGTCAATAATGAAAACATAAAGATTATTCATTATAAAAGAGTATATATATATATATATATATATATATAAAATACATTATTTGTATATATTTATTTTATATTTAGAATTACTATTTCTAGTTATATATTAAATTATACTATATTACATTATATTATATTACATTATATTACATTATATTATATTACATTATATTATATTACATTATATTACATTACATTAATAAATATATAAAGATATATAAAGATATATATAAATGCATATTTTATATATTTATATTTATTTATTCTTTTACATTTATTCTTATTTTTATATGTTTACTATATTTGTTTTATATATAAAATAATAATATATAAATAATAAATTTATATATATACATATACATAAAGATATAAAATATATATTCGATATATATTTATTTTTATATATTTATAGATATGTATATATATTTCTATATGCATATATTATTTTAGATTTATTATTATTTTTATATATTTATTATTAATATATATATTTATATATATAGATAGCAAGTCACAGGCTGGGATATGTAAAACACCCTATCAAGCCTTTAATTAAAAAATCAGCTGAAAATCAGTTCAGAAAAAGATTTAAGTGCACAAATATTGAGAGGAGCAGAAATAAACTGGATTGGGAATAACATGAGGAGAAAAATGTATAAAATACACATCTGTATTATTGTACATTTTGATATTTTTGGTTTTAATGTTTTATGAAAATATGAATGTGACAATTATTTTAATATCATATTAAAATAATTAAAACTTGCTTGTATCAGTTATTGTAATGTTTTATTAAGATACACATGTATTAATTATTTTAATATTTTAAAAATGCACAGGTATTCTTTTATATTCTTAAAGACACAGATGTGTATTAATTAATGTATTTTGTGTATAAAGTAATTTTCATTCACCATCAATTATTTACATTTTGATGTACCATCAACTAATTATGATGTACTACTCCAGTCTAATATTTGACTTTCCACAATTAGTTATTTATCTACTTAGTAACTATTTATCTATTATTTATCTATTTATCTATTTATAAGCTATTTAGCTATTATTTATTAGCTATTAGCTATTTATTATCTATTTATGAGCTATTTATATATTATTTATTTATTATCTATTTTCTATTATTTATCATCTATTTATCTATTATTTTTCTATTTATTTAGCTACTTATGATCTATTTTATTTATCTGTTTTTAAAATTTATCTGTTTCTCAATTGGGATTCCCCATCAAGGATATGATCTAACAATCAATTCACCGAAGATTATATAAAACCAGCATTTTTTTAAACTCAGCTCAACTTTCTGTGCATTCATTGAGTGCCAAATATCCCAGAAGCTTTTGGCTGTTTTTTTTTAACTCCTGATTCAGTCACTGATTCAAAAAAAGAGTTTCCCAAAGCACACAAAGAAGCTTTTGTTCCAAATTAATGTCAAAATTCGACTCATGGCAAAAACCTTTTTGTACTATTAAAACTCTACCCTTGACATACTTTATGTTGATTGAGAAGGGTAAATGTACATAATATATATATTTTTTATACCAAAGTGAGGAGGAACTTGGCCCTTCTGCCTATTTCTGTTGCTTCAGAACAACTGACTGTGTGCCAGTTTAATTTCAGCCACCCTTTGCAGATTCCCTGGGTACCTTTCTGGGTGGTTTTCACACAGCTGATGGGGCTGAACAAGCCTTGCTTCCCCTCCCTGGGGAGATTTGCTTGAACCTTGAAGCAATAGCTGCTGTCTGGGGCAAGATCATCGATGGTGTCAACAGGGAAAATGGTTTTACTCTGCAGCTGGAAGAAACAAAATCAAAGAGCCTGTGAGGGCAATATTGCTTCCCCAGGAACATTTATAAATGGAAATTTTGCAGGGTTTCAGCCCATTTGTATTATATATATATAAAATACATATTGTATTATATGATATTATTTCTAAATAATAACATACTTACTTATTATAAATAATAACATAGTTACTTATATTATTATAAATAATAATAAAATCATTTATGTTGTTAATGATATTATTATATATTATGTATTCATTTTTACATAAAAAGGTAAAAATAGAGAAAGCAGGACAGTGTTTGGAGAAATCCTAAAGGGAAGTTCCCAGTTCAGCCAGTGACTGACAGGCAGGAACATTTTGGGCTCCTTTGCCATGGAAGAGGGGAGGGATATGGCATGCCCAGGAATTCACCCCACAGATATTCCAGAAAGAACCAGGACATTCCCATCCCTCCATCACCCAAACACTGCTCTCTCCTCTGCTTTTTGTGGTGACTTCATGCACAACTTGTACTTAGGGGCCTTTTGCTCCTTTGATGTGGAATCCCAAAATCCCAGAGGTGGGAAGAGCCCTTCAGGACCACCCAGTCCCACCCAGCAGCAGCATCAGCCCAAACCCCCTTCCCAAGGGCCACATCCAGACTCCTCTGGGACAATTCCAGGGACTCCAAACCTCCCTGGGCAGCTCATCCCAAGGCCAGACCACTCTTCCAGGAAAATTTTCTTTCCAAATCTCCAACCTGAGCCTCCCCTGGTGCCATTTGAGGCCATTTCTTCTCATTTTTTAACCTGTCCCCTCCTGCCAGGGACTTGTGCAGAGCCACAAGGGCCCCCTGAGCCTCCTTTGCTCCAGGCTGAGCCCCTTTCCCAGCTCCCTCAGGAATTCTCCAGCTCCTTCCCAGCTCCCTCAGGAATTCTCCAGCCCCTTCCCAGCTCCCTCAGGAATTCTCCAGCCCTTTCCCAGCTCCCTCAGGAATTCTCCAGTCCTTTCCCAGCTCCCTCAGGAATTCTCCAGACCCTTCCCAGCTCCCTCAGGAATTCTCCAGTCCTTTCCCAGATCCCTCAGGAATTCTCCAGACCCTTCCCAGCTCCATTCCCTGCCCTGGACAAACTCCAGCCCCTCCAGGTCCTTTCTGAAGTGATGATTTTCATCTGATATCCCAAAAGAACACAGACTGCCCTTCAATCCCTGCCCTACTTTAGATGACACTCATTTCCCTACAAAAGATAAAAAAAGGAAGAGTTTCGGCCCTGCTCCTCACAGGAGAGCTCTGGGTGCTCACACGATGCCTTGGAAACCAGTTCACAATGCAACACCCCAAAAAAACCTCTGGATCAGGGCAATCCCAATAAAACAATCCTACAGTAAGAACAAAATCATCCCACCAAGAAATAACCACGTTTCAAACCACACAGGAGCAGTCACACAGTGACAGAACCAAACAATTCCATTTCACAGCAGTTCTGGTGAGGTTAAACAACAAAAAAGAAGCGCTCATACCTGAGCATGTGATGAGTTTTCCCAGAAGACCAGGTTATATTTAAAACTCAGATCATTGATCCACATCTTTTTCCTCTGATTTTCTTCTGGAGGAGAAACCTTAACTTTTATGACTCCAGTTGTGGACTGCAATTCCAGTCCTGGTGGGCCAATCTGAGCTGCAAAAACAGAAAGTAAAAAGAAGTTAAACATGTCTGCTTTGAGAAAATACCCCCCAAAAGCAGTTTACAATAACACACCTAAAATACCTGCCTATGGTAACTTATTTTTAATTCTTTTGAATGATCACTTACAGAATGTTTTCATGACTCAGGCAGTTTCTAAAAGAAATTTAACCTAACAACCAACTACCATCACCTGGCTCTAAAAGCAGTTAAAATGAAATATTACCAGCAGATAAATCAGTTCTCCAAATAAATCAGTATAAATTATTCTAAAACCTGCAAGGCAAGAGACTTAGCTCAGTCCAATAAATCCAACATCAGAGGAGGGCTTCAGCACCACACTGGAATTGCTGAAAAGCCACAAACTTCCCAAAAAAGGGTGCTTGGAGCAACCTGGTCTATGGAAGCTGTCCCTGCCCATGGCAGGGGGTGGAATGGGATGGGCTTTAAGGTCCCTCCCAATCCAGACTGGTTTGGGATTCTACAAAAATCTACTGTTAAAAAGGATTTTTCCAAGAAATAATCTGGGAAAATACAGAGTGACAGGAAATTCAGTCAGGAAACCAGCACCACTTGGAATAGTTTTCCCTTTCCAGAAAAGAGAGAATTGCAGCATTCCATGACCTGCAGATGCCTGGTGTTACGTTCCTGTTGGGAAATCCATCCTGTCCAGCAGTGCAAACCACACGTGGTTTTTCCACAATCCCTAATCCCAGACTGCTTCAGGTTGGGAAGGACCTCAAAGCCCACCCATTCCCAGCCCTGCCATGGCAGGGACACCTCCCACTGTCCCAGGAGCTCCCAATGTCCAGCCTGGCCTTGGGCACTGCCAGGGATCCAGGGACAGCCCCAGCTGCTCTGGCAATTCCATCCCAGCCCCTGCCCACCCTGCCAGGGAACAATTCCTGCCCAAGATCCCAAGATCCAGCCCTGCCCTCTGCCACTGGCAGCCATTCCCTGGCTCCTGGCCCTGCAGCCCTTGGCCCCAGTCCCTCTCCAGCTCTCCTGGAGCCCCTTCAGGCCCTGCAAGGGGCTCTGAGCTCTCCCTGGAGCTTCTCCTGTCCAGGTGAGCACCCCCAGCTCTCCCAGCGTGGCTCCAGAGGGCTCCAGGAGCAGCTCTGTGGCTCCTCTGGGCTCTCTCCAGCAGCTCCAGGTGCTGCTGCTGGGTCTCAGGGCTGGAGGCTCTGCAGGTGGGGTGTCAGGTGAGCAGGGCAGGGAGCAGAACCGTGCCCTGAGGTGCAGAAGGAAGCACGGTGTCCCCAGAGCTCGTACCGATGTGTTCCGGCACCATGTCCAGGATCCCGGACCACGGCGACACCCGCGGCCCCGCCTGAGCCCTCACACGCAGCAAGTGGAGGTCGTAGTACTCGGAGATGGCCGCCGAGAAGTCACAGGTGGTGCCCAGCACGGCCTGGCACCCCTGCAGCTCCTGCCAGCCCGTGTCCTCCAGCTCCGGCCTGCGGGACAGAGAGCAGCCCGGGATCAACAACACCGGGATAAACAACACCGGGATCAACAACACCACCAGGATAAACAACACACGGATAACCAACATCGGGATCAACAACACCGGGATCAACAACACCGGGATAAACAACACCGGGATCAACAACACCGGGATCAACAACACCGGGATAAACAACACAGGGATAAACAACACAGGGATAAACAACATCGGGATCAACAACACCGGGATAAACAACACCGGGATAAACAACACCGGGATCAACAACACCGGGATAACCAACACAGGGATAAGCAACACCAGGATAACCAACACCCTGGGATAACCAACAACCCGGGATAACCAACACCACCAGGATAACCAACACCACCAGGACAAACAACACCAGGATAAACAACACCAGGATAAACAACACAGGGATAAACAACACAGGGGTAACCCACACAGGGATAAACAACACTCCAGGATAACCAACACCCTGGGATAACCAACACCCCGGGATAACCAACACCCCAAAATAAACAACACCCCAGGATAAACAACACCCCAGGATAAACAGCCCCTCCCAGATAAACAGCCAAGGATAAATCCAACCCACAGTTAAAGCCTGAAATTATTATTCTCCTTAATTTTAATGAACATCACCCCTTTTCGTGCTGCTTTATCACCAGTGCAGTCAGTGTTATGTCCTATAAATCATCCTACAACTGCCAGAACAAAGAATGACACCCTCAGGATTATTATATTTTCTAGCCTGGCAAAGATTTTATAATTCATGGGAAGAAATTTTAAAATCTTGACAAAAGTGGTTAAAGGAGCATAAAACCAGCAGAACTCCACTTATTATAACATGAGCCAGGAATGCAAATTAAGGGCAAATAAAAACACAGAGGTGAAAAGTGGAGCAATAATTAGGTTTTCAGCAGCTCTTTTTTAATTAACACATATCCACATCTCAGTAAAGAAAGAGATTTACAGAGACATTTAAAATATCCTGGCCAAAAAACAGAGGCACAGACTTGAAGCAGTAATTGTTTATCCTCAGTTGTTTATCCTCTTTCAGACCAGTCTGACATTTTTTAAAGTAAATCTATCTTCAAAGCAGCTATTCTTAGCTATATATTGGAAAAGAAGAGCTATTTTTTTAAAATCCAAAATCCCAGGATGGTTTGGGTTTGGAAGGACCTTAAAGCCCATCTCATTCCCCCCCTGCCATGGGCAGGGAACCTGTCACGATCCCAGGTTGCTCAGAATTTCAGTAATTTTATATCAGAAATGGTTTTCGATATTTACTTGTCAGGAATGCGCCATAAAATGTGCGTGCAAAAGAACTGGGATGTGGAACTACTGAAGGAAACCAAGCAAATATTTAAGAACAAATCTTAAATTGTTTCATGTGGGGATTAAACTTCTAGCCAAGAAATGTGGGTTAATGAACACTGAGAAATTAGTTAAAAGTTATGCTGAAAATTCCCTCAAATCCTCTGTGTGTGGCCACACAAACAAACCACAGACTAAATAAATCTAAATTCTGTTTCTAAGTGTGCCAATAAACCTTCTGCAAGAACCCTTCTGCTTATTCATCATTAGCAGCAAGCTCTGTGTTCCTTGTTTGATAAATTCTGTGATAAATAATCTGATTTCTCACAGGAATGAGACAACTCACCCCCATCCCAAGAACTCATCTTCCCACCCTGCTCTTCCTGCTTTTCCCTGGGAGCTTCACAGGCAGGATGAAGCAACCCAGCAATGCCTGGAAGGAGCCAGAGCAGACTCAGCCATTCCTGGCTCCCAGGTGTTGGAGTCTGGGATACAGGGTGTGTGCCCTTGTTTTTGATACTTAGTTCTAAGATCCAGAAAAACACTGAATTTCATATAATATGAAATTCATGAGCATGTTTTCATGGTGATACGTGTAAACCACTGTTAAAGTTAGATAGAAAAAGCTAGAAGTGTGAATGTGTAAATTAGAAAGTTTTCTTAAGTCACTGAGTGAAAAAGTTAGTTTAGAGAACAGGAGACAAGATGGAGGATTTAGGGTGTTGTCTCTTGTCCTTTTTTCTTCTTCATGTTCTTCTCCTAGAGGTTTTTCGGTAATAGTAATTGATTGGTTAGAAAATGCTGCAGTGCAGCACCATAGGTGAAGAGTTATTGGGTCATTAAGAAAAATAATATACATGTTTATTGTTAATTGGGTAAAAAACAGGTATAAAGATAAAAGAACTGTGTATTTGGGGATCATTTTGTGCTTCAGACACGAAGTGAGCCACAAGGCCTTGTTGTACCATCAGAAAAAAGAAATGTACCAGATTGCAGTGATTTAGACTTGCGCAATCAGTCTGGAGAGACCTGCCAAGTTTTGTGATGACCTTTTAATAAACACCAGAAACAAGATTCTAACGAGCTTGGGAGTTTTCTTCAAATCATAAGAACTGAGATAAGCAGGGCTCCCCGTGAGGGAGGATCCCAAAAGAATTAAATCCAAAAGAGACTAAGAAATCCAGGAAGAAAAAGAAAAATACAGAAGAAATGCAGCAAAATCAGAGAAACAGAAAAAGGATTTTTTAGAGAAAAGTTACACCAGGGAAGTCACTCACCACTGGAATTCTGCGGAAAACGTCACATTGGGATCGCTCCCGCTGTAATCCCAGCTCAGCGTGAAATTGGTGTTCACCACATGGACCTGCACATTCTCTGGGCTTGGCAGACTGCTCTGGCCTAGGAGAAATATCCAAGTTGATAAATAAAATAAAATAAAATAAAATAAAATAAAATAAAATAAAATAATAAAACATTACAATAAAAAGAAAAGATTAAGCTACAATTAAAGTAAAATATTAAAATAAAGTATTACAATAAAAAGCAAATAAAAAATTAGGATAAAATTAAAGTCAAATATTACAGTAAAATAAAATTTAAACTAAATAAAACATAACAATAATTAACATAAATATTAAATTAGAATAGAAATAAAATAAATAAGATAAAAATTAAAGTAGAATAAAAATAAAATTAATAAAATAAAAATTCAAATGTAAAATTAGATATAAAATTAAAATAGAAAATAAAAATTAATAAAAATACATAAAATAAGTAAAAATACAATAAAATATTTTTTAAAATTTAAATATAAAAATGAAAATAAAATAGTAAATTTAAATTTAAATAAAAAAGTAAATTTTATATTAAATTTAAATAGAATTAAATAAAAATAAATTAAAACTAAAATAAAACTAAATAAGATACAGTAAAATACAGTAAAATAAAGTAAAATAAAGTAAAATAAAGTAAAATAAAGTAAAGTAAAGTAAAGTAAAGTAAAGTAAAGTAAAGTAAAATAAAATACACCTCTAGGCCCTGACTTTTTATTTTATCTGAAGTAATTTATTTAAGTAACTTATTAGTTACTTCCCAATTAAATTAATTTCTAAGCCATATCTGAAAGCCCTGATATTGTTGTTTGAGATCAGTCTGACACTTGTCTGTATGAAGAGGAACTCATAACCAATAAATCCGATTTTAGCTGGGCAGTCTCTGGGCAATAATGGCTTATCCTGAACCTGACCCTGGGAGAGGCTCTTCATTGCAAATACTGTTTATTTCTCTACACAAGTTCTCTTTCTACAAAGGGAATGTGTGGAAAAGCAGACAGACAGAATTCTGCAAAATCCTTTTGGAGAATTAAGCGGGATCCACAGGCTGCAGATTTTGGGAAATAACTCCTGAAAGCACAAAAACATGAAAGCCAAATAATTCAATAAACCCTTGTGGCTCCCATTACAGAATTGATTCTCACAAGGCAGGAATTTGTTGCTCTCCTAATAGACTAAAACAAACCCAGAGAATGCCAAAGGACATTTGCTCGGAAAATGAGAAAACAAAGGAAAAAACAGGATTTTTTTCCCAGCTATTTATCCAACAGATGGCTACAACTCAGCCAAAAACCTTGTGACACGGGCCCCACAGACTCCAACTGATAAAAATACTATTACATTTCAATTATTATAGTATTTTTGTTTGCTTTGGCTAGAAATTCAAATATTTAGTGTATCTTTCCCATCTTTTCAAATCCTTAATTTATAAAGAGCATGAGGCTTTCCAATACTCCTTGTTAAACCTCAGCTGCTCCTGTGGGAGCAGGAGGAAAATCTTGTCCAGATCCATGTTCTCAGCAGAGATTTTCTCCCCAGTTCCAAGCACAGGGTGGTAGGAGACACCCAGTTCCTGTTTTAAGCCAGGCCAGTGTTTTATACAGCTGGGAAATTTCCCAGGAAAATCATCTTCAACACAACTCACAACCAAGAGAACGCTGAATGGCATCAGCAATTCTTTAAGTTTTCCTTTCAAGCCAAATTTCCAGCTTCCTGAAGGAATTTTATTGCTCTTTTTTGTATTCCTTTCAAATGGTTCAACTTGCTTGATATTAAAAAAAAAAACCAAAAAAACAACACAATAAACTGGCTGAGATTAATTAATGGAAATCTCATTTATATTAGACATGACCTAATCTTTTCTTTCTAATTAGCACTGCTGTGCCCTGATACTTTTGGGGTTTTCTAAAAACACCCAGCAAAACAATGCCTTGTAATTTATGTGTAGAAGTTTTCTTTTTTGCAGGTCTGATATTTTAACCCTCCTCTCTTTGCCCTGAACATTTTCCTGTTCAATACCACTGCACTTGTTTCCTGGAATATTGATCCAGTTTCTCAGGCTGCTTCTGGATCCTCCACCCTACAGACAGGAATATGTGATTTAGCCATCCACCCTTTCACGTATTTCCCTATTTCCAATGAGTTTTGTGCTTGCTTCCCTAAATTAATTCCACAATTAATAACTCAGAGATGTTTAATCAGCAGAGAAATTATGTGATTTAGGTAGTAACTTGATATGCAAGGAAAAACCTAAGAATCAAGATTTATTCCTGGATTATTTTATTAATGACAAAAAGCCAGGCATTTAAAACTAACTCCTGTTTGTTCACACGACCATGATGGCACTTGGTTCTGAGAAACCATTATAAGGAATTAGACTTCTGTGGAAAGAAGAAATTAAAAACCAGAGATACTTTTAGCACATCTGCCCATCTCCTTCCCCTGTCAAATCCCAATAAACTAAAACAACCCAAACTGTTCTAATAACAGAAAAATCACTGCTTTGTTGATCAGATGTTCAGCAATAATGTCAGTAAACGATGGCTGAAAATAATAACGACTACATAACAAAATCGATTCAACAACGGAAGCAAGAAATGGCAACACAGCAAACCCCACGGTCAGGGGAAATCCCAGGAGGAGCACATGATGCTCGATGCTTACGACACCCCTGGCTGCAGGAACCAGCGGAAAATATCAGCCAACATTTCAGCAGAAGGAAAGGGAGGCCCCTCACATGTGACACCGGGAAAGGCTCTGCAGAACCCGGGAGAACTCCGAGATTTACCCTGGAGCAGCAGCACAGGGACCAGCTGGGCTTGGCACAGGGGAAGGGGAGAGGTCACTGAAGCAGAGCTGTTACTGAGAATTCCAGAGTTCGAATCACCCACTGGTTTGGATCTGGGAGCTCATCCAGTCCCAGCCCCAATGTCCAGCCTGGCCTTGGGCACTGCCAGGGATCCAGGGCCTGCCCACCCTCGCAGGGATCAATTCCTTCCCGATATCCCATCCAGCCCTGCCCTCAGGCAGTCTAAAATCACTATCCCTGGTCCTGCCACTCTCTGCCTGTACAAATAGACTCTCTGCCCTCCTTTGTAATGCTTCACAATACTTCCTCTTCGAGCACCAGGTTTTGGACAATAGTTGTTTTTTTGCTGTGTAAGAACAAAAGATAAGGCACAAGCTCCCGCCCTGCCAGCCAAAACCCTCATTCTGCCATTCTCTTATTTCCTCATTCATCCTTTAGGCTCTGCCAGACTGTCCTTTCCAAGCCAAACAACGGGAATTCAAAGCTGCAATTCACCGGGAACAGGCGTGGAGGAGAGGGACTGTCCACAGGAGCCTGGGGCCAGGAGCCAGCGAATGGCTGCCAGTGGCAGAGGGCAGGGCTGGATCTTGGGATCTTGGGCAGGAATTGTTCCCTGGCAGGGTGGGCAGGGGCTGGGATGGAATTGCCAGAGCAGCTGGGGCTGCCCCTGGATCCCTGGCAGTGCCCAAGGCCAGGCTGGACATTGGGAGCTCCTGGGACACTGGGAGGTGTCCCTGCCATGGCAGGGCTGGCACTGGGTGGGCTCTGAGGTCCATTCCCAACCCAAACCCTACTGTGATTCCATGGAAACCCTGGAAACAGGACAGATCCTCACCGACACCGCTATTCCGCCCCGCATCCCCGCCCCGCTCCCCCTCGGCCCGGGGAGGGGGCCCCGCTCCGGCCCCGCTCCCTGAGGGCTCCCGGGACCCACCTGCGCAGGGCAGCGGGGCCAGGAGCAGGAGCAGCACGGCCGCCAGCACCCACAGCCCGCTCGGCACCCGCACCCACAGCCGCCGCTCCACCGTCCTTCTGCTCCGCTGCTCGTCCGCCCGTCCATTCCCGGCCTCCGCCGCCCGTCCATTCCCGGCCTCCGCCATCCAGGGCAGTGTTGCCGGAAGCTCCGGCGGCGGCGCCTGCGCGGCAGCGGCCTTGGCTCTGTGAGGGGCGGGCAGGGCAGTACCGGGGCTGTGTGAGGGCAGTGCCGGGGCTGTGTGAGGGCAGTACCGGGGCTGTGTGAGAGCAGGGCCGGGGCTGTGTGAGAGCAGTACCGGGGCTGTGTGAGGGCAGAGCCGGGGCTGTGTGAGAGCAGTGCCGGGGCTGTGTGAGGGCAGAGCCGGGGCTGTGTGAGGGCAGAGCCGGGGCTGTGTGAGGGCAGTGCCGGGGCTGTGTGAAGGCAGAACCGGGGCTGTGTGAGAGCAGGGCCGGGGCTGTGTGAGAGCAGAGCCGGGGCAGTACCGGGGCTGTGTGAGAGCAGAATCGGGGCTGTGTGAAGGCAGAACCGGGGCAGAGCCGGGGCTGTGTGAGAGCAGTACCGGGGCTGTGTGAGGGCAGAGCCGGGGCTGTGTAAGAGACGGTCCGAAGATTCTCCCATCTGTCTCACGACCGCCGCAGGGAAAGACCCTGAACATCACAAGGGACTCGGTACAGGGGCTCTGGCCTGGTTGAGGTGGATGTTTGCCAAGTGATTGTAGGTGTGCTTGCTGTGCTACCACGGTACACTGCCCTCATTTCTGCTGGTGAGCAGAGACTTGTACCCCACACCTGCCCCCCTGAGCAATGGGTTTCATCACAATGATCATCAGCCTCCTCTGGTTTTGGCTTTGTGCCCCTCACTTTGTAAAAAACTATAAAATACACCCCAAAACTTACTTTCATTTGAGATCTTCCCAACAGACAGAAGACTCTGTGCCGTTGGACAGCTGAGTGGACTTCGACGTTGGTAGCTATAATCCCCCTTATTCTCTTTTTCTTATGCTTTGCTTTCTCCTCTTTTCCCTCTATCACATATTAGTGCTGATGAGCACTCAATAAAGTGTGTTTTGCTGTTTAAGTCCCTGGTTTGCTGATAATCTTTTGTACTCTAAGATCGAATAAAAGAACCACATCAAGAATCCCACCTTGTGGATCGTGACACGAGGCTGTGCCGGGGCACAAACCCAGGGTCACGGAGCTGCTCCTGGAGCCAGGCTGGGAGAGCTGGGGGTGCTCACCTGGACAGGAGAAGCTCCAGGGAGAGCTCAGAGCCCCTTGCAGGGCCTGAAGGGGCTCCAGGAGAGCTGGAGAGGGACTGGGGCCAAGGGCTGCAGGGCCAGGAGCCAGGGAATGGCT